AGATGTTTTATATCACAACGATGTAAGATGGCTCAGTCGGGGGTCTGCACTGCAGCGTTTCTACTCTCTCAGAAAGGAAATCGGAGAATTCTTGGAAACAAAGGGACAACCAATGCGAGAACTATCTGATCCTATTTGGCTGGCTGATTTGGGGTTTCTAGTTGACATAACAAAGCATCTGAATGTACTGAACACGAGTCTTCAGGGGAAAGATGCAGCGGTGAACCAGCTTTATTCACACCTCAAAGCCTTTGGGACAAAGCTGCAACTTTTCATAAGGCAGTTGTCACAAACACAGCCCAATACCATACATTTTTCAGCGTTGCAGGAAATAATGAACAGTTTTCCACAGGACAATATCAGTGCGCAAACGAGCAGGTATGCAGCAGACATCGCATCTCTGGCTGGGGAGTTTAAACAGCGCTTTCAGGATTTTGCATCTATTGAAAAGGAGATCAGCCTTTTCTCCTCTCCATTCTCTGTTGACCCCGATGATGCTCCAGATCAGCTGCAGCTCGAGCTCATTGAGCTGCATTGTGACAGCGAGTTACGCAGTCGTCACCAACAGCTCTCTCTTGTGAACTTTTACCGCCAACTGGATAAGAGCCGGTTTCAAGAGATTCGAACATTGGCTAAGAAAATGCTGAGCTTGTTTGGCTCAACATATGTGTGCGCGAAGACATTCTCTGCTATGAACTTTAACAAGAACCGCGTGAGGACAAGACTAAGTGACTCGCACCTGCGTGACATTTTGCGCATCAAAACCACTGCTTTTGAACCAGACCTAGCCTATGTGCTGCAGTCCAGAACTCAGTTTCACCCTTCACTTTAGTGCAGGCAAGTTTTTTTTTTCCAATTGAAATTAATACATTGTAAAATCTCAGTTAATGTCAGTTGGTCTAAATCAGTTATAAATATATTTGGACACAACATGTATACTTGGTGTTATGTTCCTGTTCATATTTTTTGAACTTAAAAGTTGACAGACAACCTTTATTACCAATAATATGTAATGTACTTTACAATGTTCCTGACACATATTTCAGCTTCCTGGATTTTTTTTTCATCTGGCCTTCAGATATGAAAGGCAGAGTGATTTAACACCTGTTTAGATTTGTGATCCATGTGACGAAATGAAAAGTATGCCGTTTGCAATAAACTTTGCATAAAATAGTTAATTTGCATTTAATTTTAATGGTTCAAAGAATGTCAGGCAAAATGGTCGGCCCTCACGCATGTTCACTTGTTCAAATCTGGCCCCCTCTGAAAAAAGTTTGGACACCCCTGCCTTAGGCAATGTCAATACTTGTTTGGGGAAGTCACTTAAGGAGATTTGCTGCTGAGACATTGACTTCCAAAGAAAAATATTTTTGTCTCTGTGTTATAACTGGAGGGGCCAGTAGGTATCCAGATCAAGGTCTTTACTAGTTCTGTTTTCCCTTTTTAAAGATTTCCCTTTTTAAAGATCTGATGCGCAACTACAGCACATTAGTAATGTGAACTCTCAGATTTCAGCTCCCACTTGCTAAACATAAGGGCTGTGTCTACATTGGCACCCTTTTCCGGAAAAGGCATGCTAATGAGACACTTCAGAATTGCAAATGCCGCGGGGGATTTAAATATCCCCCACGGCATTTGCATGAACATGGCTCCCGCTTTTTTCCGGCTAGGGGTTTTGCCGGAGAAAAGCACCAGTCTAGACGGGATCTTGCGGAAAATAAACTCTTTTCCGGAAGATCCCTTATTCCTACTTGAAAGTAGAGCTGCAAATGGTCCTACTTGAAAGTAGGAATAAGGGATCTTCTGGAAAAGGGTTTATTTTCCGCAAGAGCCCGTCTAGACTGGCGCTTTTCTCCAGCAAAACCCCGAGCCAGAAAAAAGCGGCAGCCATGTTCATGCAAATGCTGCGGGGGATATTTAAATCCCCCACGGCATTTGCAATTCCGAAGTGTCTTATTAGCATCCCTTTTCCAGAAAAGGGTGCCAATGTAGACACAGCCAAGGAGTGAATTCCCTATAAACATCCAAGATTAGAGTTCCAGTGTGGAAGGAAATTACTCCCATTACAAAATGAGTATCAGATACCCACCAGACGAACTTAGGGGAAATGAAATGTCAGAGGCACGAAAGATCATTTCTTCCTCCTAGATCAGCGTATTGTACCAGGTTCTACACAAGCAGAGTACTACAAATGAATGGAAAACACCACAAGCAAGTCAATCTTCAGAAGAGCATGCTGGGAATAAGCTAGAGGTAACAGAGTCTAAAATTGATTTACTAAACCAGTGATTTGACTTCAAATTAAAACTAGAATAGAAGAAAAAACCCAACTAATTAAAGAACGCAATACAAAGCTTGAAATGAACATGAGAATCACTACCATGTATCCTGATGCTTTAATCAATGTCATCTCACTTCACTTAAAAAAAGAATACCCCATGGATAACTGTTTGTATTGTATGAAATGAAAGGAGGATCGAAAGAGTTTTATGAAGTGTTTTAAAAAAATATGTCCTTGACAAACCTGAAAACTGAGCCACAACCCTGTACATTGTGTCACGCTGTAAATAAAATCCCCTTGAGAACATGGAATGATTTTATATTACCAAGGACATAAGCTTATAGTGATCATTAATTTTGGTCTTGCCCACATACAATTTTTGTATTGTTTAATTACACTGGCATAATTCCATCAGTACAACACCTTCCCCCCCCCCACACACTATGATTGAGGTTATACTATAATAAAGTTGCCAGTCTTACACAGTAATGTGAATAAGCTCTTCCAACATAAGAGACATTGGTACTAGAATAATTACATCACAGTAGGAGATGTACTAGCATAACTATTTTGGTTAATAAACCTCCTCCTCCTCCTGACTCAAATAATTATATTAATACAAATACTGTGTATGTAGACTAGGCCTTGGTGTCTACCCTCAGAGAAACACTGCTGAACATATACTGACAGACTACATTTCTCTGGACAGGGATAGTGTCTTTTGTTTCTTTTATAGTACCAAGTACAAAATACAAACATATGGCCTCCCCCATTACAAAATGTAATCCCATGTTCTCTTTGACATGACCACAGCTCTAAAACAAAAGAGGTATGCTTTAAAATCCTACTTCCAGGAACTTGATACACTATCTCCACTTTTACAAGCCACAAAGTTAGAGATGCTTTGCAAATACAGGAAACAAAATCTCTCAGAGCATGATGAAGCACAAAGTACAGTTAGATGGTTGTTTGGGTCTGAGGAAAAGGAAACTGAGCAGGGATTTATATATTTTGGATGTGATCCAGAACATCTGCATGAAACATCAGTTACAAATTCTTTTTGAATCTAGAGTAGAGAGTAAGTATTAGGAATGTTAAAATATGTGTTTTTGTAAACATGCAATCACTGAAATTCTTCCTACATGCACCATCAGAGGCAGCAGCACAGGGTAAGGGGCAGACTGTGTGTAAACATGAGGGTTTACTGATGAGCTCAGGCTCATCAGTTAACTTTGTATATGGATACCTGCTCACATCCCTAGTAAGCATATTGAGTTTGACACCAATTACCCGATGGGATAATTAACCGGATAATTAACCGGATGATGTTTACAGCTAAATGTTGAATACCCATAGCTTTGCACATCTGACTATATCTGAACAATTCACTGTAAACTTGCCATCAGCAATGGAATTCTAGATGTTTACAGGTAATGCGCTCCTTGAATTTAGCAAATGGGAGCTGAAATTTATTACCCTCCATTCAAAGGAGGGATTGATTATCCCTACTCAGACACTTGTCTGTTTCAAGGACTACTTCAAGATGAATTCTTCTCTTATTTTTGGCCATGCATGTATAGAATAGAGTGAAATGGTAATGGCTTGTTATTACTTCAAGATGGTGGTATTACGCAAATGATTTAGGCAACTATTCCCTAAATGGCTTAAAAGAGAGCTGAAAAAAGTATTGTGGAATAGGCCAAGAGAGAGAGCAAGAGAAAAAACAGTCTTGGGGGAAAATATTTGGTCTTCCCATCAGGATTGCAAAGATTCAAAGAGTCTAAAAGGTGCAAAGTAAGTTCAGTATACTCTGTGGTCACAAAAAAGTAAGGTACTTAATTATTACATCCACATATGCTGAATAACTATGCATACATTTACCCTGCACAGTAATTCTAACATGGCTGGAGGGAAAAGTGGGTTCATGCACTGAATTATTTTAACAGAAGTTATTTATAAACATCCTTTTATTACTATTCATGGTTCTATTTTCCTCCATTTACAGATGTTGCATTAATATTTGTTCCTCCACTTGCAGAAGAATAACTGCCACTTTAAAACAAAAACAACAACAACAACAACAAAAGACCTCCATCATAACAACCTCCTCTCCAATCCTGTGCTACCTTCCCTGTTTTTAAAAATTTTCAGAGAATCAACTGTTAATGGCTCAAGTTCTTTGGCTAATTGTCTTATGAACTTGGCATGCAGAGTATGTTGCTCGTAGAGGTGTTGCTCATATCCGTTCCAGACCGTCACCTTCCCATCAGTTGGAGTAGCCAGCAAGAAAGAACTGAGAAGGTGCTGGGCCAGGTCATAATGACGAATATTTACTTCACTCCATCCCTAAATTATCTTCTATCTGCTGCCCAACCCTAGAGCCTCAACTTCAGTCTCTCCCCTGCACAAGTATAGCACAGCAATTTTTACATTCCACATATGCCCATCATAGTCTCCATAAATCCAATCCCATTTCACTTATTCAACCAAACTTTTCCAAATTTCTCTGCTTGTTGCCAGCTAAACCTACTTGGATTTTCTTCCCTCTCCACACACTCTTCTCTGATAGCTCTTTACCTCCACGCACTCTCTTTTATTTCAGATTCTTCTTTCTTAAAGAAGGCCTCTGAACTCCAGAAGCAAAATGCACAATATTACTTCAATCGTGTTCTAATATTTTGCCCAGTCCCACTTTGCCAGAGCTCAGCATTTCCTTTACCTTATTTTCCACCAATGAGATGAGGATCTGCTCCATGATGTTATTGATTGCTGGGATGGAGTTTTGAATGTGGCCAATCACTACACCAATAGCAACCCTCGACAGCTCATAGCTGAGGTGGGTGTTCCTGCGCACCAGCTCGATCAGTTCCGCACCTATTGTCTTTGGCACAGACACAGCCTGGCTGCTGGATTCTGGTGCCAACAGCTCCAAAGCAGCTGCCTTCTTATCATCAAGGCAAAGAGAGTTGAAGGCTTCTAAGCCCCCGGAAGGAGCTGGTGCTGTCTTCTTGACTTGCTGATTCTTCTCCCCATCCATATGGAGAGACCTCTGACTCCCTGTTTCAAAAGGTGGTGCTGGGGCAGCCCTCTTGGTCTGGGGAGATTTGGTTGCCCCACCCCTTGCTGAAGTCCCATGCTTCAGGTGGGCCGAAGAGCTAATATCCAAGCTGCGCGATACTGTAGTGTGGGCACTCCTGCTGGGGACTGGGGGAGGAGTGTTGGAGGGGCTGGAAGTGGCTGTTGGGAGACCAGCTTCTGATGCAGTGGAACCAGTGTACAAGGTATCCAGGGAAGCTGTACTCATAGAAGAGGCACTGGAAACAGACCCAGAGGCGATTTCAACAGCATCTGAAAAAGAACAATTAAAAGACCTTAGAAACAACATCAAAGAAAAAGGTGAAAACAAACAGGCATGGTAGAGTCCATTAAGAAGCTCATTGTGCATGCTACCAAAGCAGTTTGACTTCTCTTCCTGGCTCACTTATCTCAAAGCAAAATTGTATTAGGTCTCTCTTGAGCATTCTAGTAAAGTAACCTCTTCAGGAGGGGAAGAAAGCTGTTCTGGGGAGATGAATTCTCTTCAAAAGGCTCACCATTTTAAGGACAAACATAACTAGGAGAAAGGAATCTTTTCCCCTTGGATTAAGCAATAACTTTTTCCTCCTCACCCTCCCCAACATACTGCATGTAGCCAGCACTTTTGATGGATGTATCTGAAAATTTCAAAGTACAGAAGATTACTCATTGCAGCAAGTCTCTCCCTTCTGTAAAGCTCCTTCCCTGCAGCATTACCTGTATGTTCTGCTTGGCGTTAACAGCAAGAAAAAAAACATTTGGCTGACAGGCATCTGTAGCCCAGTCTCTGCACTCTAGGTAATCGGATTACAAACCTGTTCCCTCTTACCACCCTCTCAGCCAGCACACGAGTACTTGCTAGAAGCATTTCTGAGTGCTTTCTCCTGTTGCGTTTTGGCTTACTCTAGCATTGATATTTACACCATTTGTCTAGGGAAATTAGTCCACTATCTAATCAACCTTACTGCTAGGATGTTTTTCCTAATTTCTAGCCTAAATTTTCATTATTCAATTACTTGTTTACTTTGTCCGATAACATGTAAAAATGAGGCTGTGGATACTTTTATCACATGCCCAGTTACTTGGGCAAAATGTGGCACCAATCAGCAATATTCTAGATCTGTAAGACAATCAAAGCACTGCTTTAGGCACATGGATTTCCAGGTGAATTTATTCCCATTTTGCATGTGTGAATGTTTACCCATCACTGACTGCTCCTCATTTACTTCTAATTATCCACAAAAAATAATCATCTCCTTAGGCAACAAACATCCTCCCAAACTCATGAGGCAGAAATTCTCTTGGGCTAAAGGGCCAATCACCACTGGAAGAGTCTTTGTTTTTTCTGCTGGCCACAGGTGACGTTTTGGTAATCTCACAATCTTTCCTCTAAGTCAAGAGCCAGAACAGTAGCTGCATATCCCTGGCTAAGAAACACACCAACAGGCCTTCCATCCAGAACAAGGGTATTGCAGGATTGGCTACTCCAACTGTTCAGGCCAAAAACGTGTGCTTTTATTCAGCTCTACATATCTCCCATGGAGATTAACTATCATTCTTCATCTTCCTCCTCCTCCTCAAGAAGATCGTCCATGTGCTTCCAGTAGATTCAATGGAATCAGAGGAACATCATGGATTCAAGAGAAGCATCAATCTGAAGGGCAGAATTGCTCACTACTTCAGTGTGGAATGGCTCATTACCATGAGGCAGGTGCTGCCTGATCCAAATTTCAATGGCCTGCCCACAATATGATCAATCTGTACTGCACCCTGCAAGTTCATTTTATAGGACATTAACCAATCTGTGACTGAGTTTGGGGCAGGGATGTAAAATCCTGGGTAGTCAGTTAATCGGTTAAATGTTATGATTAACCAATTCACCACTTAAAGCAGGGGCTGGCTACTCCAGCTCCTGCCGGTTAATCATAGTAAGCATCACGCATGTGCTTGCTGGTAAACTGGTTAACCATTCACATCCTTTGTGTAGGGAGAGTTTCTCATTATGACAATGTAACTGTATGAGCACAATGTAGCACTGGGGCAATACACAACCACAACATGAACCGTGTCACAACGAAATAACTTTCACAAACATCTCCAATAGGTTCAATCCCTAGAGGATGCAAATTAGTTTTTTTGCTTTGCTTAGTATTGGCCCAGTAGCACTCTACTGATCAGTACTGCAAGTTCTCACTAACAACAGTTATGGTGTTTGCAGCACATGAAAAGCTGATCTTCCCTGGGTTCCGGGTTGAAGATGCTACACACCTGTCTTTTGCAGACACAAGCCACTGATTATGTAAAAGTCTGACATGGCTATTACATGCACAAAGACCTAGATGGACATCTAGCAGAGTTACTTGCTAAGCATTTCTTAACAGAGTCTTTCACCGATGTATTAATAGTGAGTGCCCCCTGGTGATGTAATGGCATTATCACATCCAGATTTTTTTCAAAAGCACAAATTTTCATGCTGCCCTGTAGAAAGATCCCTATGATAGATATAGTCTAATTGAATAGATGTGTAACCATGTGAAATCTTAGTGGTTACATGACTATTCGATGGGGGCGGGGCCGGCAGAGAGTGCAACCCAGCCCTGCTCCCAGAAGCCCCCTGCCATCCTGCGCTGCTGACTCTGTATCAAGAGGCAGCAGTGTAGGGTGGCAGGTGTAGGGTGCCAGGGAAGCCAGTTTAAAAACCAGCCGAGGCCACCGCAGACAAAGGCTACTTTGAGGTAGCCAGCCCTGTCCCTGCCCCCCCCCCGCACTCCATCAGAGGTAGCAGGGAGAGCGCCGGGGGAGGGGGGGTAGGCAGCACTACAAAAGCCGATTCCCCCAGCACCAGCTCTAAATAGGCTCGCCCTACCACCAGCTCCTACCTCTCCCTCCCCACTGCCATCAATAGGAGACAGCAAGTGTGGGGGGGAGGCAGGTCCACAGAGCCAGCTACCTTCGCGTATCAGCGCCAGCCTGCCTGTTTACTCTCCGCACTGCTGCCTCTCATGGGGAGCCTGCTTAAAGCCAGCTCCTCACAGGCACCAGCTCCCATTCCCCCCTTTGCTGCCTCTGATACAGAAGCAGCAGGGAGAAAGGGGAAGTGAATGTAGTTGACAAGATAAGCCTGGGCTTATCGCTTAATCAGTTAATCATGTAGTCGACTACACGTTGACATCTCTTTATGATACTCCTTGGCGAATAAATACAAAGGCCCCAAAACATTAGTTATGTTTGTGAGAACAAATATTCTAGAGCTTCTTCTCCAAACACTGTCTTCTGCCAAAATTAATCCCATCCTAGGAAGTCCAGAGATTACTATGCCCAGCATCCAGAGTTGGTAGGAGAAGCTGCACAGGTGCCAGTCAGCCAAAAATCATTCTGAAGGACCAGGAAATGACCTAAGGAAACACTAGTCCCCAGCATTGGAGCTTTCTGATTAAGACTGATCAAAACTTCAGACCAACATGCATCTGAGCAGAAATCCAAGAGATGCTTTACTGGAGGTACAGACCAAAACCAGCCAGAGTTGCTGCTACCATTACACTTCTTCCTATACAATACTTCAGTGTTGGCTGCTTCTTGCCCCAAATTTGTATATATAACCCAAAGCTTTTCCTTACTTTTAATGTGTGCTTCCATCTGCACATTCTTGCGTTTCTCTGGTGGTGGGGGTGTGACAGGAGCAGCACGTCGTGGCTGTGGCGGGATCTAAAAGGGAAGATTTTAGAGCAATCAAAGAAAGTTACAATCAAAATAAACTCCCTATTATAAACCCTGGGTGTGTGTTAATTTGTTCCTACATTTCTCTCATCATTCCAGATAGATATTAGTAGGCAGCTTCTTACAAGAACAAAGCAGAAACTCTGAAACCCTGCTTTACTCCCTCCCCTTGACAGGAAAAGCCGCCCATGTTTAATTGCTATGTTCAGCAGCACACAGTATGTGTGTCACACAGACCTGCCAAGCATTACTTTTTCCTTATTCCAGATGCAATCCCACACATTCACCATGCCTTTACAGTGATCTCAACAGCCCCAGAGAGGCAGCAAACAGTGAGCATATTTAACCACGCTTTTGGAAAGATCCATTACATCAGCTACAAATATCCTTGCAGAAAGACAAAGCTAAGGACTGCAGATAGCTAAGTTCCTTCCTAATTCATACCTCCACAGCAATTTCTTATACAGACACTGAGAAGCTAGGGCTAGAGTAGCTGTGCATTGCCACAATCCCATTGCTGTTCCTTGTTGGCAGAAGCTTCAACAAGAGTTTCACAAAACTCTGAACAGCTTGTTCTCAACTTAGCAAGATTCTAAGTTTGACCTTTTCTTATGGATACAGGGATCTCACCACGCTTAACCATACCTTTATTGCTCAGCATGTGCATGACTGCAGTTTGCTCCATGTACAGGAAATTGCAGCCAGTATTGAATATAGCAGCCAATTTAAGTAGTATTTCCCCTCAAGGAAGGACACTGCACCAAAACTCGGCGATCTGCCCAGGCAGACAGCTGATCTCCATGTAAAGGCTGAACATGTGGCTTTGGACCTACAAAGACACACACTATTTGGTACCTGGCTGCCTGAGAGATGCCTCTGTCCTCATGTGATAGCGCAACTGCTCAACTCAGAAGTGCTCATACTGGAAGTCAGGTATCAGACAGGAAGGATTGTGCCAGTGATCTCAATGAGTTACCTTAACTCAAGCGTGGTCACATGGAGCCCTGGTTTGGTGACATTGAGATCATGCTACAATTCTCCTTTTTTTCAGTCTCTCTCTTCAATGGTATTTGCAAGGAGAGGTATTTATATTGATGGGCTGAGGAGGGAATGGTCTTTTTGACATCCTGAATTTCTCCATGTTTTTAGAATGCCTGTAAAGTGCATACAGTATTACCAGATATCAAACTCTTGAACCAGGCTCTCCAAAAATAAGGTGATTTTAAGAGCTGTGTTTTAGGTTCTTTTTATTCAGCTTGTTTGTGAGCCACCTGGGGACACGTTCAAGTGTTTCTCTGCAACCATGTGGGTCAAACTTTTGTTCTAAATGAAACACGAGATGCTCTCATAACATGACCCCAGCAGCTAGAGCTTTACTACAATGTCACAAGACTTGTAGTGTAACTGTAAAAGTTGGCAGTATTGCCCTGAATAAGGCTGGTTAGAAATCTGAATGAGTAAGAGCCCTAAATAATAAATATACACAGGCCTAAAGGAACTACATTGGCGTAAGGTAAACCATGACTTGGCCCCACCAAGCACCATCTGGAGCACATTCCTAGCACCATTAGGCTTCAGAGATTGAAACTTTCCAAGAAGAGCATAGTGACACCATTCTTAAAGTGACAACTTCCCCCAGACAGATCACTGCAAAGCACTCCAATGGGCTGCTCTACTTGTAAGTCTCAGCTGCATGCTCAATGAGATCTCATTTCACCTGTGCTCTGCAATCTGGGCTGCCTGATTTTTTTCTTCTTTCTGGGTTCAGTTAAAGAGGCAGCCTTAACCTAAACATTAAACCTGTTACATTCTGGTCACTTCAGACACAACCCCTCCACTCACACAATACAGCGAAAGTTGAGATCAAATGGAAACACTTCAGCTTCTGCTTAAGTGGGAAGGGGGGTTTGATTTGGAGGCAGATTCTCCTCAATGAAAGATTCTTGACTGTAGGAATCTGCTTTCCCCCCTAAGTTCAGGGCCTGGATTTACTTAGATCTAGATCATGTTGTGGCAAGACTAAAGGCTTGTTTTGCAATGGTAAGAGAGAGCATGTTAGTTTTGGAGGTTCAGGAACTATTATGTTCCAGTTCATCGTCCCTATAAAAGTTAGGGATACCAATTGGAACACACATGAGTACGCAGAGCTATGACATGCTTTTGTATCAATTGAGATTGGGAGTGGAGATAAATGGGGCACGGAGGCGGTTTCTTACCCCTTTGTGCCACCCAGCTTTTAAAAAAATACTTTTAGGACAGAGGAGATCAATTAATTCAACAAATTGCCACAATAAACACCTTATACTAGTAAAGCAACACCAGAGTCCAATGTAAACTTCCAGCCTGGGCTTTTCATTTATTTTCCACCTATTCTTCCCTATAGTTTAAGTCAGAATACTAAGTGGGATCTAAATACAGAACTGGCCAGAATCCAGCATTACACCTACTTGCCTTTTAAAAATTATTAGTCTTTGGCTCAAGAGACAGCACAGCTGTGTGAGGCACAATTAGAACAGAAGAGCTCTCTGTAAAATGCTGGCAAAAGGCCCTTCTAGACTCTTGTAAGTGCAGCTGTGCTAAGGTCAGCTCTGTCTTTATGGCCATGAAGCTGTGTAGCTCAGCACAATCACAAAGCAGAAGCCTGCATCCGTTTATAAGATCAGCACAATGCTATTTGGGTGCAGAGGGGGAACAGGCTCATTCTAGGACACTACACTGGCTCCACTCACCCTACCAAACCTGTCACATATTTGACTCCAACAATTATAAGAGTACTGTTTATACAGCAGTCCAAGTGCCATGGAGCTCTGGAAATCTTTCCTGCCCAGAGTAGGTAAGCTAGAACAATTGATCTCTGCAGAATCTAACCTTTTCTTTAATAT